AGAGAAGTTATTATCTGCAGTTTTCAGAAAATCATAGTTTGTACTGCTGCTTTTCCTGGCTGTTCGGTTTTGAGATCATAGATTATGGTGGTATCAAATAGAAATAGCCTTAAAGTTTAAAATCATATGGAGCCAGAATTAAGTGACATGGATGTGCTTTTAAACACTGCAAGAAATACTGAGGTATTGCAGAGAGGCTGTTAAAGTGAAAAATCTTATTTTGGTGCTTACTGCACCTGTGACTTAGCCTAGCATTGGTTTGTTAACAATGTGCTGTGAAAAAAAAAGTGAGGCAAACACTTGGTTTGCTTACCAACATGGTGTGTGAAGTGAAGACTGAAGGGAAGGGGGGGGGGCAAATTAAGTTGTAAACATTTTGACCTGCTTGCATGGATTTTCTTTAAAGATTGATGTAAGAATTTTGACTTTTTATATTTGAGAAATACCAAAATAAAATCTAAATTAGTTCTGTGGATTATTTAGTCATTCCATTGCACATACTGCAAAAGAAGTGTTTGTGCAAGAGTCTTCACCCATCTAAAATATTTGTGTTTTATCTAATGTTTCCTACTTCTTGCCTCATCTGGCTTCCCCTGGCCCTGTGGAACAGCCCTTCCCAGAGCTTATTCCAGCACGATGGTCCCAGCTTGCTGTACAGCTCCCCCATCTAAATCCAGCAATGACATTTCAAACACACTGCTTCCTTTTGCTCTCCTGCTACCCCCCAGCTGCAGCACAGATGTGTGTTTAATACCTGCACAGTAACAGTGAGAACAGCTGCATCAGATCAGACCCAAGGTCTGTCTAGCCCAGTGCCTCATGTTCAGCAGTGCCTGGAGGAACTGGTAACAGCAGAACAGTGAGTTTCTGCCTCCAGCATCCCTGTGCCTGCTGCTGTCTGTGGCTCAGGATCCTCCCCAGCCAGACACGGCTTCTTTGTGCTGTTACAAGGAAGGGATTTCTCTTCCTTGGACTTGACACCCCACCCTCCGAGCACCTCTGTCTCTAACACCCACCCCAGCTTGGAGAACAGGGCCAGAGCTGAGCCTGCTGCCGCAGTTCCACCTCCTCTTGCCTTTTTTGAACCTGCTTCCTTCATTGCTCTTTTGGGAGGGAGGAGGTACTCTGTTCCTCTCTGTATGACTTTGACAAGCAGTCAGTTACCATTAATCCCTCTCCAGATTTAAGAGAGTTTTGCTGTGGTTGTGTCTGCCTCCTCTCTGAGTAACTCCCATACATCATGTGAAGCTGAAGCACACAAGTGGGGTAGCGTGTGTGTCAAAACATAGCACACAGAGGGAAAGGCAAAATGACACTTCCAAGGCTCAGAAAAAGATAAGAAGCTTCAGACTTTAAGTTGAATGCGTTTGGGTTTTTTTTTAAGCTTAACCTCTTACTTTGAACACCGTTGCGGCCTCAGTACTGCTGTGGCATTAAGCTACGCACTGCATGCTCAGCCCAAGTGAAGAAGCCCGTACTGTGTCCCCACGTCAGGACAGTGCTCCACCCAAGGAAGGGTATCACCTCTTGACCGGCAAACGCAGCAGCACAGGCATGGCCCTGTGCGTGGCAGCGAGCGCCACGGGCTGTGCACCGCCTGGGACAATGCTCTTGGCAGCTTTCTGTCCCTGAACAGGCAGGCGATGCTGCTCAGAGCTGCTTTCGGGGGGCTGGAGACCCCCGAACGAGCCTGCTGGTAACCAGCCCACGCTGAACTTCAGCAGTGCTCGGTGGCAGCACTGGTTCCAGTAGCTGTCCCACAGTATCTGCTGCCGCCAGCTCCGAGGAACAGGCAGTGCAAGGAGGCGCACACAGCAATTGTCCAAGCTCTGCACATCACTGTACTAGAACAGGCAGATTTAAACACAGGCAAGCAAAAAAAACCCAAAACCAAAACAAAACCTACCCAAAAAAATAACCCAGAAAAGCATCCTCAGAGTTTGTGTACCAGAGCAGGCCCCGCTGAGGGCATCAGGACAGGTGTTGCTCTTCTCTCCTCATAGAAGAGGGGGGGAAGCCGCAGCACTTGGAAAGTGAGTTATGAGACAAGTTATCGATGTTTATCTTCCTTATTTTAACAGATGTAATAACTGTTCGGAAACTACCGCACACTGATGGCAGGCCACTACAGTTAAATGAAGCTCAGTGTCTATGTAACAAATAATCACTCTTCCTTTAATTTCAGTGTCATATTACATTACAGTCAAGACATGTTATTGACAAAACCTACCAGACATTTTAGAGTAACCCTCAAAAAAAAACCCAAAACAAAACCCCAAGGAAGAAGGTACCTAAATCCAGATGCCACAATCTTTGCTGTTACTGGTCCATTAAGATGAGCCACAATAATCTCAATGTGTTGGAAATGCTCGATGTGTTCTTGAAAGCTACAGAAGCAATGTTTCACTTGGTTTAGACTGAAGTCAGCTAAGGGACAAAAAACCTGTTCCATCAGTTCCCAGCGATAATACACTGCAGACCCACGACAGAACATGGTGACAGACCACCACTGAACGGTTACGCAAAACCAAAAGCCTTCCACATCCTCCTCTCGATCTGAAGGAAACTACCGCAGAGGTATTCTGCAGCGTGGTTTGGGAGCCTACGGGGTAATCCAGGCGCAACAGCTGCACCGTCACTCTCCAGGCGCTGTCAGACACAATGCCCCGTCACCACTCCTGCTCAGGAGTTCAGGACGTTTGACACGCAGCGCCAGTAATGCTAGAGGAAACCCGTTTCTTTTGAGTTTACTGTAAATTTATACAGTGGACATCCACTAAAAATGGAGGTAAAAGTAACGCTCCCTAAAAGACAGCTGCATTTGCTAACCAGTTGTAGTGGTAGATGAAACAGAAGTAACTTTGAGTTTCAGGTAACGGCTGTGAGCATACACCTGCTTCACTGGGGAAAAAGTTGTATCTACCTGGCTTCAAAAAATTCAGCCTAAAGGTTTCACACATTCCTCAGCATAAGATAGAATGGAATTCCCAGCTTGGCTTTATATAGGGCTTTTAAATTAGGTTTAAAGGTTAAATACATATTATTTAGTATGTGTTATCAACTTTAAAAGTATTGAAGTATGCCTGAATAGACCCCACAAAAAACAAACCTTAGGTTTTAGGAAGCCCATTTAAAATTTCCTTCACTACAACTATCATTCGAAAATACTTTCAAGAGTTTTAAAACACAGTGTTTACCTATCCTTCTATACCATTAATTTCAGATACACCATCACTATGGACTCACACATTCAAACTCAGACTTCTTTAATAACATCTTGGATTTGCTGAGACAGTTAAACAAAGAACCCAGACACATACTGGCTACTGTGTACTCAAACGGTTCTACAATCCACTTCATTCAGCCACTAGCAAGTGGAAGCAGAGGATTTTTTCCTGTTAATATATTAACACCATTCCATTAAGAACTTAGCTTTAATCACGCCCTCCGACGAGCTGCCGCCTCTAGCCGAGCATCATGCCCTGAGCGCAGCAGCACCCAGCTCCCCGTTCGATGAGCGCGGGCCTGGATTCACCCCACCCGGTCTGAAGTCAAACCGCGCAAGTGCCAACCCGGGCCCCGTTTTTCCTAGCGAAGGGAGGGGAGGCCACTTCAGGGAGAGCCGGACACACAGCACAAGGCAAAGCTTCAAGAGGCAGGTGATGGAATCCAGGGCCTGCCACGCGGCTCACGCGTCCGCAGCTGCCCGTGCTGGCAGCACGCCGGGATGCACACCGGCTACACCCGCGCTCGCTGGTCATGAGAAGGCCGGGTTAGTGGCCGCTTACCCGCTCTGAAGAACAAACAATCCGTTACAAGCTCCGAATGCAACTTTGGCTTACATCCAACACAGAAATTACTTACAAAACAGGGGTTTTTATAGCTCAGTCTGGTGAAGAAGCTGAATTCTGAACCAAGCTTCAACCACGTAACAAGAAGTACTGCGAGGACAACACCAGTTACTAACCACCGAAAGCACTGTCTGTTGGAAAGACGTAGTTTTAATAGATATTCTTCATCGTACATAAGAGCACAATAAATACACCACATTCTATTGAAATTTCAGATGACACTAGAGCAAGAAGAGGTGAAAGAGGGAGAATACCAACAGACTACATAACCATACCCCTGAACTGCAAAACAAAACACTCCCTACTGCAACCACTACAAGCTGCCGTTTATACACTTCAGGTTGGCCGCGCCAAAAGCTTTTACACTTTTTTTGTTGTTGTTTCTGGTTAGGGCGAGGGCTTGGGGAAAGGAAGAGAGCAGGGATACAAGAAATTAAGGGAACCAGTAAGATGGGTTCCCAGAAAAGATGCTGGACTCCCCGACAAGATGCATACACAAAAAACTAGGATAAGAAGGAAGTTTTTCATCACATTCCTTCCCTCCAGTAAAGCAGCTCTGCCGCTGTCCAGGCAGACCGGTTGCTCAAGCAAGCAGCTCAGTAAGGCTTGTGGAGAAAACCAGCAGCAGGAGGCGCGCGCCGTAAGCGGTTAAGCAAACATTAGTCAACACACAAGCTGGCTGTAAGAGCGGCTCTACGCACTGTTATTTCACGTTAATAGAGGGCAGGAATTAAAGAAGTTAGAGAACTGCATAGCCTAACATCTGATGACAATCAGCAAAGAGAAGTTATGCAGATACTCATCATTAGTGCTGTCATTTGCTCTCAACCTCCTGCTTGATTATGGTCATTTCCGTGAAAATGCGTATCAACGCATTACTAAAGTTAGGGTTACATCAGAGACTTCTTTCTAGAAGTCACTCCAAATGCCATTTCGTATTAAATTGGCCAGGTGAGGTCACCCACATAACACAAGCTAATAAAAAAAGTCAGCAGACAGAAGCAAAACATCTTGTGAATTCCACCTCTTTACTGTTTTATCTGTCAGACTGGTGAAGACAAATTGTCCGTTCTGGTTTCATTTTTTTTAAATACGATTGTCACATTAGAGAAATGAAAAGACAGCAAAATAAACTGTACAAAGGCAAAGTAGAATAACAAAAAATATTTTACTAAAACATAAGATTTACAGGAGATTTTCCAGACAAGCCATACAAAATGGTCACAAGCTTTTTCTTGGAGGGATTTTTCTACACTCGACAGCAGATTCACAATATTATTAGTGAAGGTGATGGATGTTTAATGTTCCCAGTTTTTTGTTCAAACAATGAAGCTTGTCCATCTACAGCGTCTAAGTTAGACTGGGCTAGAGGGTATATTCTAAAGTATAACTGGTTAGCTGCTTTGACCAATGCAATTAGCATCACCATAAAAAGGGAGGAGGAGCCCACAAAATTAAAACGAAAAGCCCCGCAGCTAACCCTGCCTACCTTCATTCACAGTGCTTATACTGAAACCATGATGGGAAAAATGATTAAAAGCAGAGATGTGCTGCTGCTTTCAAACAATTTCACAACAATCCAGATGATACTTCTAGCCTCTGCTCATGCGGTACCACAGTGAATTAGGACAAGACACAGATTTGCTAATGTGCATTTAATCACCAAAGGACTGAAGATGTCTGGGCTTTTATTCTGTAACATTTCTAAGACTGTGTCCATTAAATGCAAACAAAAAAGGAAGAGGTCTTGGCAGAACAGGAGAAGTGATGCACACTCGATGTTCAAAGCGCATTTAAATATTATTCATGGCATATAGCCTAGTCCATGCTCTGGCTGCAAAGAAAAAGAAGCACATTTAAGAAAATATGTATTTTTCAGGCTTTATTAAAGCAATTTTAAAAGATTTTTAGAGATCACTTCTATACCAACACTGCAAGTATACAAAACGTATCAGTTCTGAGATTTTAAATGCAATTTTGAACTCCAGCAGCTGTCAACTTTTGTATGTTATAGAAGTGGCCTGACTGCAGTGGATCCAGAAGTGAAGAGGCATAACACGGTAATTCTTTCAATCCATTACAGCCTGCAACAGAAGCAGGTATGAAGAGATGTGCTTTCTGAAACCAGATAATCTGTGCCTTAAGCTTTAGAGGAAAAGCAGTGGTGTGTACTTTTATTCTACCATGACTCCAAATTAGAAGTACTTGCAATCTAGGAATATGAAAACTCAAGATAAAACAGATCAAGAGAGCTTGTCTTCTGGCAAGCCTCACAGATTTGAAAACTGACCACCGCAGGCACGTTCAGGGTACTTGGACTAGGACTGTACGCAATAACTGCTTCTGCAAGTTGCAGACATAAAAACAAGAGGTCGGGATTTATATCCCCCAACCAGTTAGTGATCAGCTACTTCCTACAGTCAGAAGAAAAAAAATCGAAAGCGTAAGATACATCACCTGTTTCTATGGCTTGGGCTTCATTGGTCTTCCATTGCTCAGCTACATCATTTGCTAGTGGATCATCTGGGTTGGGAGCGCTTAACAAAGCCTGGATTGATAGCAGAACTGTACGAATCTGCAAAGCTGGGGACCACTTATCTGAAGAGACATTTACAGCAGTATGAAACACCATATTCAGCATAGTCTACAGAAATAGCAAGTTTTCCTCTCCCAGATTAAAAATAAGCAGGGTATTCTTTAAACAAATGAAATCTCTTTTTAGGGTCAATTTACAAGTCTCTGCACTTAATAAGATCAAACCAAAGACAACAAGGTAGCACTTACCTTTCAAAATATCTAAACATATTCTTCCCAGCTTGTCTACATTAGGATGATAAATTTTGGTCATGAAACGTACTTTAGGAGCTGCCATTGGATATTCTTCTGGAAGGAATAGTTCAAGTTTAAATGTCCCACCCTCAAAGGGGGAATCCTGTGGACCTGCAATGACCACGTGAAAATAACGTGCGTTGCTTTCATCTGGCTCTGCTTTTATCCCAGGGACTGGCTCTGCCAGCAAGCGCTGGGTTTCCTACAAGAAGAAGAAGAGGCGGCAATGTAATGAATACAACCCATTTAAAATAAACATGACCTGCACAAACTATCTTAAAAACAAGAAGTATTCATTATGAGCTATTTGCCTACATCCACAGAAACAATGTTAGACAAATGCCTTAAAGTCAAAGAAGATCTACAGAAAGAAGATGAGGATGTGGTAAACTGGTACGCGTCGGCTGTACAACAGGCTGCCCAGGGAAGTGGTGGCGTCGCCATCCCTGGAGGTGTTCAAAAAAAGTGTAGATGTGGCACTTCGGGACATGGTTTAGCAGGCACAGTGGTGTCGGGTTGATGGTTGGGCTTGATGATCTTGGAGGTGTTTTCCAACCTTCACAATTCTATGATTCCACACATCTCCTTTCGTATCCCTCAACTGCTGTGACAGCGTATGCTTCTACAGCGCAAGGTAATAGATAACAATTAAGCTGTCCTCAAGAAATTTCTTAAATTTTGATTAAACTACTGCCAAGCTGTTATTTTCTTCAATATACTTAAATGCACTCAAAAGAATACTACAATGAAAATTTCCCATCCTACCTTAAACAGAAAATTCTGTAAGTGAAAAGCCAAAAGAGTTTGATAATCACTCACAGGGAGTGTTCAAGGTTTACTCTAACAAGAGCCGACTGGTTTATTAAGACAAACATTGGTACTGGAATCAGATCCAACTTCCAAGATATAAGTACTCTGCTACAACACTAAAGGTGTTTTTAAGGATGTTTTATGTATTTACACAGATATATGCATCAATAGCTTCGGTGTGATCACTTCCAGCCTACATACAGCCATGCTTAAAGTCACCCTAAGAAACAGCAAGGGACAGGCAAGTTGTTCGGTAAGCAGCACAATTTGGGAAGCCCGGATTCCTACAGAGATTTGTGTTCTTTGCCGCTCAATGCTTCTGCGTACAGCACCAACCCTACCTCAGGCACCGCACTGCACCGACAGCTGCCCACATTCTGACCCCCCATCCTGCTAACGCACTGGGCAGACAGACTGACCAGCTCCTGCCCATCTTCCCCTCTCCTCTGCTGCCAGCCTTTGCAATCTTACAGGCACCATTCTGCCCCTCCTCCTGAAAAAGGACCCAAGGCTAGAACAGGCAACAGGCCATCAGGCAGGGACAAGAAGCCCTGCCGAAGCCTCATTTCCTCCGGTAATTTTAGCCCCATTTCCTGCTTTTCCTCTAGCTTGTTTTGCTATGTACAGTTAATTTTGTCACCACCTTTCTGTGTTGCCTTTCACAAAGAAAAATCATCCCGTTTCTACTAAAGAACAATGGTAACTTGGAGGTGTAATATTAATTTACTATTCTAGTCTTACAGGATATTTATTCCGCGTGTCTACAATAGCACCAATACAAGCACAAAATAGATTATTGCTACTTGGCTTAATACATTCTTCACACATAACTGCACTGTTACAATACTGTAACAATACATTTTGTAGAAATATATTCACACAGCATTTGAGTGGTAATGGCTGTCTTGACGCAGTTAAGTAATATCTCACTTTATACTATGTATTTGATTATTTTTTCCTAAGGAAGTGAAGTCACAGTAATTAATGCCAAAATCCAGTTATTCATCCCAAAATTGTCAAGGTCCTACAAATCACAGTATTGAAGTTCTTACTAAATACACACAGAAACACGAAAATAAATTTATCTGGTCTAATTCCTTGTTGTGACTACATATTACCTACTTATCTGTCTAGGCATTAACTGCCAATGCCACTTACATGCCTTACTGGAAGGCCATCCAAGCTTCTTAGAGCTGCCTACATTCACTTCTGCAAGTATATTTTATTTTAAATGATACACATGAATTTATAACATACTTGGGTTTTGTATTGTGCTGGCTTTTTACTTGTACTGTAATTCTGTAGAACAGCAGTGATAACAAATGCTTAAAGCTTTAGTTCAGTGGTATGAAAGTCAGTGAGTAAGAAACTACAGATTACCCCTGTAAATGCATAAAACATTCTCCACTTCCTTCAGCAAGTTTTCAGCATAAGCGCTGACACAGGTAAATGGGACAATTTGCATTTCCACTGGTGAAGGACCATATACTTACTATAGTCTGACAGTTTTGGCAGAGGGAACAGTGTCGTATGCCAAATACAAACTAATACAGCGAGCCAACTTGGAATTAACTTAACAAAAAGACCCAATTTTTAAACTTGTTCACAGCTGCTACCACCTGGACTTTGCCAGATACACGCTAGTAGACGAATCGTGGTTTTGGTTCTTATGGGCATGCTCAAGTTTAGAACTATTTTTGTAATATTAAGGGTAACACATTTTAATAGCTGGGCTGATCTCAGCAGTCCCTAGCCCAGCTCAGTCACTCTGGTCCCCAGACTTCCTCCCTAGTTATGCCAGTATGCTGACTGTAACCACAGCAGGCAGCCAATCCTGGCTTAAAATAACCCAGAATCAGCAGTTCTCCGGCAGCAGCATCAGCGCTTCTACCTGCCAGCCTAACTGAGGGAGCAGTGCCCAGCTGCGAGCTCCACATTCTGCCACTAAAAACCGTTTGTCAATAAACAATGAGAGAGCCCATGTATGAGAAAAATGATTCTTTTAATTGAGGTACCACATGACACTGAGGGCACTACACCACCGCTGCCTGCCATCACGTTCGGAGCGCCCTTTATGCCTCTCCATTGTGTGGCCACAGGCATCTTGCTATCAAACGCCACAGAAGAGCATTTATGCTGCATACAGCTACGCTACTGCTGAGGCTCCTCAGAACCTATACCGGTCCCCTGTGGAACGTGAATATTAGATGAAAAACGCTTTAAGCAAGCACGCCCCACCTCCTGCACTGTGCATGGAGCTCCACCACTATCGGAAAAACCACAGCTGTTTTCAAACAGAGATGAGGAGGAACACTTGCAAGAAATTTGTGAGGGAACTGACTGACGGTCATCTTTCGTAACCACCAGGCTCTGATGCAGCAGCCATCAAGCCGAGGGGGCAAGCACCAGGCTAAACCTCTGCGACACGCACAAAATGATCAGTCGTGACTCCTGTGCCCATGTATCGCCACCATTTTACACAAAAGCTGAGAAGCAGCATTGGTTCATAAAAGGCATCTTTTTAAAACAGCGTAACATGGACAAGCTTGTTAGACTATGAAAAACACAAGAAAGATGCCATTTATTAAAAGAACATGAAATGTTTGTACTTAAATACATCAACACCACCTGCTAAATTCTGACAGTAAATAAGGATTTTGCCCTTCAATTACAAAGAATTTTATAAAAATATATAAAAAGGACCAGAAAGGGATTAATTAGTCAAAAAGTTACGTTTTAAGGTCTAAGCATATAAAATGCTGAAACATACAACTAGGTCCAATTCTAAGGTGGTATCAGGGACTTGACTTCCACATTTTACAGTAAAATGGCCAATTAAAGACATGCTGATAATAAAATCAATTTGATTTGCCATAAGACTTGGAGAAATAAGTCATATTTGAGATAAACAGTTGTCAGTATACAGGGCAACACTATGTACCAGGTCAGGAAACTGAACTGCATAAAGATTTTTTTTTTTTTGGAAGTGTACATTACCAAAAAAAAAAATCCAAATAACAAAACAAACAAACAAAAAAAACCCCACAAACAACAAACCTGTAAATGACCCACATGACAGAGTCACAAGATGCAGACTCAATCTACAAACAAGGAAATGTTTAACTACATGTTGATCTTATTTTGTAATTTTATGTCACTTTCCCCACAGGACGGTTACCCAATGAAGAACAGTCTGTCAAACATGTTAAAATAAATAAACAGACAGCTTCTAATGAAACCTTTAACTTCCCACCTTTTTAACTAATCAGGAAGATCAAGCATATGCAATACTTCACTTTCCAATATATTTTTAGGCAAAATCCTTCTAACACTTTTTTAGCTGAGGAAGTGTGTTTTGTACCATCTGTTACTTCCTCCTCTGCCCCCCAAATCGCCTTTGAACCCTGTGTCCAATCTCCACTTCTCTGTATGCTCTGTGAGCTGTCAGTGGCCAAGACAGAAACCCAAGCTCAGTGCTACCAAAGAGAAAGACATGAAGAACTCTGCCATTACATGCTGTTTGGCCAGTTTATTCCAACCAAGTATGTACTATTCTTGCCTGGTAAAAAACCCTGTCAATAACAATAAAAAGAGCTGGGACATCCAAACATTAACATGCTAAGAGGAAAAAGGGCAAATTCACATAAAACCAGGTTTTGCAGTTCTGCTGCTCACAATCAATTTTTTTTACAATATAGCAGTTAATTTTGTCTTCACAGGAATACAAATTTCCATCTAAGTAAGTGCTCCAGAACAGCACATTATAGTGTTTCTTATTAGCTCTCCTCTAGCATACTGAAATAAGTTTCACAGAAGAGATTTCAGGACATATTTTGAGCTCTAAAGCATTTAATGCAGTAGGCCATGCTGCCATAAGCAGTTATTTCTATTTTTCATACTCTGCAATGTTTTCAGATGGATATCTCTTCTTGCTCCTGCTTTTACTCCACTTTTTCCAATTCCAAGTTAATGACATGATTTCCATTGACTAAAGAAAATTAATAAACACAAAATGAAGATACACGCCAGTTAGTACTTAAAAAAAAACAAAAACACAACACTGTCTGTCATTCACAACTGGTTATGCCCCCCCACAATTTTATCTGTCTTATTTTTAATTAATCAGTTAAAAAAAACACAGAGGCATTGAAGGTGTTTTGACAAGCAAAAGCAAAGCTCTTCTTATTAACACAGGTGGCCTGAAGTAGAGTGACAGATGATACGGATGGGACAGATGGTGTAGCTGACATTCTGCATAGCTTTTCTTCTATGAAGACATCAAATTGAAAACTAACTGTACCTGGGGGGGTGGGGAGAAACCCTCAACCTGAGTTACAGTAACCGGTAAGGACAAGAAACCTCAGCAAGAGAGCGCGCTGCGATTTTCAGAAGAGACCAAAGAGCAGGAGGTGGGGGTGAGTGATTTTCCGAGTTGCCAGGACTGACAGAAGCCACGAAAACAGAGATCAATTTGCAGGGGGGTATATTTCATTCTTTGAGCTTTTGCTTGGTTATCCTGCTTTCAGTGGAAGAAGAAAAAAAAAAAAGTTACCCAAAAGCAGACATAACCACCAGGATTCTCCTGGTTCACACACCCAGCACAAGACAGAGGCCTTCTTTAAGGATGTGAACTGAATAACCCAGAAGATGCTTCCATACAGACATGCATGAAAATCAATTGCTAGATCACATGGAGATATGAACAAGCCTACAAAGAAGGAATCCATTAGAAATATACTACTGTTTTATTAACTTCCAGTCTTGAAGAAGCGTTTATTAAAACCTCAAGCTGCCAAGGCCTCTGTCAAAACAACCAAAACAAGATTTCTGTATGCAACATTATTAGAAAACAAAAGGCTACTTCTGAAGTCTTACTTGCTATCAACAGTCTAAGGGGGGATCAAACAGTGGCATATTAGCAAATAACTACAATCAGAAAACTCATGTATGCAAGTATTTGCAAAAAAAAAAAAAAACAAAAAAAAAAACCACAAACATTATTTCTTACATGGCAGAGCCACTGCAGCTGAACTGAAAGCTCTAAAGCTTCACCCGTCTGACAGAGACCACTCTAGTAGCAAAGGAAGAAATTGTTCCATGCGATTAGACAATTTTTAAAGCTTCTTTGTCGCTAGAAAGGAGTACTATATTCTTTGCCTGAAAAAATGATTGCAATTCCGTTCCCTGTACTACGGCAATAGTTAATCACCACAAATTTCACACTGCCTACCAAGGGACATGGCCAAAAAAGTTAAGAACAAATCAATATCTAGCACCTGCAAAATACAGGAACTTTAAGACTACTGTATGAAGGCCATTAGAATTTAAGAAAGCAGATTGCTTGCAAAGTCAGCACCAACTAGCTCAAAGAAAAAATCCAAGCTCCATG